TTAGTGCCAATTTCAAATAAGTTGTTTTTACAAAATAAAAAGTGCTTTTTCAATGTATGATCCCTAACCTAAATATTTAAAAATGTGCAATTTATCTCCCTATTACCAACTGTTTCATATTGAAACTTTTATCAGCTTATTAAATCTTGTTTCTTATTTTTGATTTTAGATTTCATGTGCAATTTTAGTGCATAATCCCTACTTTTGATTATAAACGTGTCTACTATCTCACTCAATTACAAACCATTTCATACTGAGTATACTATCAACATGTTATATCTTATTTCCCTTTTTAGTACAAATTTCTAATAAGTTGCTTTTACATACTTCGAGGAAAAAAAAAAACGAAAAAAAAAACGAAAAAAAAAACGCAACCCAACTCTTAAGCGAAATCATTAACAGTAAGCCATTCTAGTCCATGCTCTAGCAAATTAAACCCTCTCCATTCATCTTTGTATGAAATTAGAAGTTTAGATTGAGGGTTCCATTTAAACTTTAATATGTTTTTTCAAAATCGTAAAAATCCGTGCAAACGTTGCTCTTCTGGATCTTGTAGTAGCGGAAAGGTTGTTCAGAACTTTTAAATTTTAAAATTTGTCCTCTGTAATAGACGCGTTTCTTGCTGTATAAAAAATCTGTGATCTAAATTCTTGCGAATAAACTGCAACGATAACATCTCTAGGATACTTATGGTCTTGTTTTCTCTGCGATAGTCTATGTATCCTTATGACTCGTAACTCTAGTTGTTTCATCTGTATTCCTATATGATCCATGTAGGTTTCAAAAATTCTTTTAAATTGTTATCTGTTACTTCCTCAGGAATATTTCTGATCCTCAGATTGCATCTTCTTGATCTGTCTTCCACTATACAGACTTTATCTTCCATTTCTTTTAATTTCATTAATGTCTTATTATGTGATTCTTTTAGCTCTTTCATTTGAAAATCTCTTATTTCTTCTCTGCTTTCCATGTTTTGCATTTTACTGTCTAATATTGCAATATCCGACTTTATATCTAGGAATTTTTCTGTAAGTTCCCTTTTAATATATTTTACAGCTTCTTCCATGCAGGCTTTTAACTCCAGTAAAGAAACAGACTCTTTATCTGTCAGTATTTTGGGAGAAGGCAGTGAGGTAGGCTGGGAAAGTTCCATTATTGAAATCTCTGATGTTTCTTGGCTTGCATGAGGGGAAAAAAAAGGCTTTAGAATATTATTATTATATGTAATATATGTAAAGTAGTTTATTAAATATATTTCCTTTGATAGTTTAACGTTATTCATGACACATTGACTGGGGCTTAATAGGCTGCCAATTAGCACCAGCCTGCACATTTATTAATGTTGTAATATTTCTGTAGAATTATTATATGTCAGATTTTATTGTAGGATAAAACAATGCATGGTAAATTCATTTAGCCTCTGGAGATTTTAAAAGCATTGACAATTTTGTAGCAGTGAGAGAAATGCTCGTCTGTATATACAATTATTGCAATTATCCTGCATATTTAGAAATGCTTGCATAATTTACCTTAATCAAAGCTTAATACTGCTTCTGTGAGATATATTTATGAATACAAATTCTTGATGGCCCTAATCCTGCAAGAGTTTTATGATTTCAATAATTAACATCTAATTAATCAATAAGAAATTGGCCTACTGATACTTACCTGATATCTTGCAAAACTGTTGTGTTTTGCAAAATGTAAAAGCGCAGACGTCCACTCAAATGGTTTCCTTTCTTGCCATTCTTTGTTGCCATTTCTTTCTTGGGTTTAATTGTAGATTATGCTAGCTTTAGTGTACCTATAATCTTAATTTTATTAATGACAGGAGGCGAATATTTGCTTAAGTCTCTCTTTACTAGAACTCCACAGCAGCAAAAACCACAGAGAGTAAACAACCAATCAGAAAACAGAAAGGAGACAATATAACTCCCTTCTCTACCTTCCATTTCCTCTTTCAAGCGATAACAAACACAGTCAGAAAAACCCACATAACATAGCAATAACAGTCCGTCTCTGACAGAAATAGCGACTCTCATAGAATTCTTCAACCGAATTGAAATTTGAACGTGATGTCATCCTGGAAACTTTACACTGGAACGAAATAAACAGAATCGAAAACTGTGATTAGCCAATGAAATGTACGTCCAAAGACATGCAGCCACCCAGTGCAAAATTTATTGTGAACACCACCAAGTCAGTGGCGGATCCAGAGCCTGATCTCGGGAGGGGCACTTGTAGATTATTTAAAGAAATAATCCAGACACAATAACCACTACAGCTCAGTGTAGTGGTTATGGTGTCAATAGTGCCGGGACCCCCTCTCACAGTAAGTAGTCAAACCGTTTAAGAACAGTTTGACAACTTACCTGAGATCTGCTGGGAAATGGGGCTGTAGTAGGGCATAGGAGCAGTGGTGTGTGCGAGTGGTGCAATGTGTAAGAGTGCAGTGTGTGTGTGAAGGTTGTAGTGTGTGAGTGAGGGCGGCAGTGTATGTCAGGGATGCAGTGTATGTGTGGGACAGTATGTGTGTGTAACAGTTGCAGTGTGTGTGTATGGGGGGCAATGTGTGTGTATGGGGGGCAGTGTGTGTGTATGTGGGGGCATGTGTGTATGGGGGCAATGTGTGTATGTGGGGGCAGTGCGTGTGTATGAGGGGCAGTGCGTGTGTATGGGGGCAGTTTGTGTGTATGGCGGGCAGTTTGTGTGTGTATGGGGGCAGTGTGTATATGTGGGGCAGTAAGTAAGGGGTAGTATGTGTGTGTGCTGTGGGGCAGTGTGTGTATGAGGGGCAGTGTGTGTATGTGGGGGCAGTGTGTGTGTATGGGGGGCAGTGTGTGTGTGCATGAGGGGCAGTTTGTGTGTATGGGGGGCAGTTTGTGTAATGGGGGCAGTTTGTGTGTGGGGGCAGTTTGTGGAATGGGGCAGTTTGTGTGTATGGGGGGCAGTTTGTGTATGGGGGGCAGTTTGTGTGAATGGGGGGGCAGTATTGGGGGCAATGTATGTGTGTGTGGCTTTTTTTTTATTATATATTTTTTTTAATTTAATTAAAATTAAATAAATATCCTATGTCCCCCCTCCCTTTTTACCTTTACTGGGGAGGAGGGGGGACATACTTTGATCCCTGGTGGTCCAGTGGTGATTCATTGGTGGTCAAGTGGTGATTCATTGGTGGTCCAGTGTGGAGAGTGAACTCTAGCCCGCGCTCCCGGGCTAGAGTTCACTCTCGCGAGATTTGGAGCGTTGCCGTTCTCACTCCCTCCCTCCCCCGCCGGCCCCCAGCATGTGCAGGCAGGGGAGGGAGACCGGCGGATTTCTCGGGGGGGGGGGCAATTGCCCCGTTGCCCCCCACCTGGATCCGCCACTGCACCAAGTATACAAATCCCACCCTAGATAGTAATGAAAACAGAGAGGTGTTCTAATAACCATACAGAACATCTGAAAAGTAACATACCTCCTAATAATACTCAACACACAAGATAACAAATACAAACAAGGGTCGGGAACAAAAGGGTGGGAAATATTTGCCTCCTGTCATTAATAAAATTAAGATTATAGGTACACTAAAGCTAGCATAATCTACAATTTTATAACCTGACAGGAGGCTTCATATTTGCTGTTTTAACGTTTAGCCAACAAATCCAACGATGTTCATCTCGCTGGTACCTATCCGAGAAATAACCAGAGAGATCCTAAATGGGCCTTCCAATTGCGAGAAGCGACAGCAGATGGATCGATGAAGATACCAGCTGTCGATGTACCCTCAATCACGGAAAACACTTAATCAGCTGCCAGATCCACTGTATGTGGGAGTGTGACCCATATCCTTGAAGACGGTCCATGAACTGTAAGGCCGACCACTTGACCATTTCTTGCAAGTGTAAATCCCAATGGTCATATGCGGACATGGCACCGCGGGAACTGTCAGCAGGTCTCGGCCCTTGATGTGGAAGATGGTTCCTCCGATCGGGGCCAAGGTCACCAGGTGGTGTGGCCCTGCAGACAAAAACTCCAACCTCAAGTAATGCATCCGAGTCCACCACCAATTCCGTAACATACACGAATAAGGTTCTCTTTGTATCATCATGACCTACTATACGAGTGGTCTTCTCCGAAATTAGTCTATCATGCTGGCAAGAGTGGGCACAGACATAGCGGGCCAATCAAAGGGGGCACAGACATAACAGGCCAATTAGAGGGCACAGACATAGCAGGCCAATCAGAGGGCACAGACATAGCAGGCCAATCAAAGGGGGCACAGACATAGCAGGCCAATCGGAAGGCACAGACATAGCAGGCCAATTGGAGGGCACAGACATAGCAGGCCAATCACGGGCGCTGTGTAGGCGGTAGCAAGGCAGCAATGTGTGAAACAGAGCCCCATCCATATGTAATAAACTATAGGAACCTTGGGGTCAAGTAGCTCCAAAGCATATAAAAACCATCTTGTATAGTGTGAGCACGTGCCTAGTACTAGGACTTCTATCAGGTAGTCCCTTAATGCCTGCCGCCAGCTACAGGAATATCCAAATTGTAGGAAAACTCAGAGCAGCGCAGGGTGAACTGCCTACAGACTGCTCTCCCACACAGTAAAATATACAAATATTTCTACCTATAGTCTAACTCCTGTAAAAACCTAGTGAGGGAGAATGATGGCCAGGATGTATAGACTAACCCTGATGCAGGATGAGGGAGCCCTAGCAGCCCATCAGATGGTGCAGGATGCGGTCTGGATAGATCCCCTCATAGAGGAGGAACCTGTCACCACGTGGAAGATGAAATCACAGACTCTGTTCTAGAGAAAGGTGCTCTAGTTTGTCTATCTACCAAGCAGTATCTCCTTTATCCGTCTTACACCATCAGACCTACACTTAACTGAGCAATAGAACATCCTGCCCGCAGACCGTCACCGATGAGGCACCGACAGGGGAGGGGCCACGAGCGGGCACACACTCCCCCACCCGGTCGGACACACGTGGTCCGCAAACGAGGCGGCCATGGGAAGCAGCCACGTGGTGAAAGGATCCGGCCGCCGGGTACTCTGCTCACTCGCGAGTACCCTTGCGGCCGGAGGAAAGAAACACAAGGGACCGCTGGAGATGAGCTCCGCGGTCCCAGATCTCGGGGAGCCGGAGGAGGCAGACAATGACAGCCTCCTGGAGCTCCAGAACAGCACATGACCCGCCCAGAATAAGGGTAAGGGGCTGCTGACAAAAACCAACGGAGGGTGTATATCTAAAGTGAGAACTGGAGGGGGGGGGGAAGCAAAGGAATATATCTGACAAAAGGGTCCCCAAGGACCCCACAAATCCCAAAGCAATCTCTAGGGAAGTACATAGTGAGAGCCTAAGGATACAGACAAAAATCATACTAAGATCATAGAAGCAGTTGTCTATAGCAATAAAATCCCACAGGACAATAAGCACTGAATATAAGAATAACATCCCCCAAGACAATACAAAATTACTGTATAGGCAAACAAAATCCCACAAGAGCAATAGAAAATACTGAACACAAGCAATAACAACCCACAAGGGTAATAGAAATCCTGCATATAAGCAATAAAATCCCACAAGGACAATATAAAATACTGAATAATCAATAACATCCCAAAGGACAATTTAAAATTACTAAATATAAGCAATAAATCCCAAATCCACCCACTAAGAGCAGGAGGCAGTGGTACTCTGACCTGTACTGATGCGGAGCAGCAAAGAAAGAGGCAATGGAAGGTAGAAAAGGGAGTTATAGGTCTCCTTTCTGTTTTCTGATTGGTTGTTTACTCTCTGTTTTTTTGCTGCTGTGGAGTTCTAGTAAAGAGAGACTTAAGCAAATATGAAGAACTCTCACACAAAGTAGTTTAAGGAATATAATCCCTAGAGATAGTTTTTTAAAACAAAACAAAGGGTTCTTTGGTTGTGGATCTTGTCTGGCATGCAGAGGAACAAAAAGCAAGAAGAGACATATAGTAGATTTAGAACCACTAATTAACACAAAATTGGAAATCAAAGATCACCTTACATGTTACGCTAAAGGAGTGATATATCTCCTTAAGTGTCCGTGTAATTTGTTATACATAGGAAGAACGATCCGCTGTCTCCATATAAGAGTAGCGGAACATGTGAGAAACATTAAAAAGGGATTAGAATCACGTAGTGTTTCCAATCATTTTAAGCTAGCACATAACCAAAACCCAGAGGGCCTCTTTTTTTGTGAAATTAAACTTGTAAAAAAAGATTGGAGAGGAGGTAATTATACCAAAAAAATTGGAATAGAGGAAATGAAGTGTATATTTAACTTTAACACATTAATTCCCCGTGGCCTAAACCAAGATTTTGAGTTGTGCCATTTTATGAATTAATTCCATGAAATTTTTATATTTTTTAAAGGGTTTGAAAGAAAAAATCTATCATATTCCTTTTTGTATTTATTGCATAATAGAAATTATTATACTCCTTTTTTAGCAGAAGAATATTTATATATATATATATATCACCAATTTATTGTACTTTGGATAGTTTTTCTCTTTTTAATGGATGCTTTCGTTGTTTTTATGTCCTTTTTTCTATAGTATTTTATATATATGGATCAACATTTAGTTTTATAGATGGACATATTTGAAATGAGCTGTTTTAATATTACAAATGGTAATGAGCTGTTTTAATATTATAACTTTTTTTTTTATAATTCTTTATTTTTGTAGTGCTTTGCAAGTTTCACATATAAACACAGACAGTGCAAAAGTATCACAGAAAGTATTCGTTGGTAGAGTAAATGACATGTCTGAACAAATGCACCTTTTTTGGGTTATAATATCAAGATATTCATGCTTAGGCCTACATAGGGTAGCGTAAGTGATGATAGATTGCCAATCACAGGCCAAACATGCCGAGAGAGAGGTATTATGACTTATGCAGGCTTAAGTAATGCAAGAGGGAGTAAGTTGCTTAGAATTCAATGAAGATAAAATCAAACAGCATGGTATAAGCTTGTACATGTAAGTTAAACTAAATTTTGAACTGGACTGGAGGTAAGTATCAGAGCCTTAAGTTTCTGCCAACGGTGACAATGTCCTTTGAGATGTATGTGAGGACAGGACCACATGCCCATTGAATTAGTCCCTGTCAGCCTATGCCCACTGGGTATGCATGGATAAGCATGGATGTGACTTGCCAGCATGGATGTGACTTGCCAGGGAGTGACACACTTGCTTGGTGAGGAGATGTCTGCCACTGATAGCATGAGGGGCGGCTCAGAGGTGGCTGTGGTGGTCTCTTGATGCAGCTTAGAGCAAACACTGGTATAGTAGGACTCGCCATTCCAAAGCAGCGGCGGTCAGGACATCAGTCCACACCTCGGTATCTTAGGTGGTAGTGCGGCTTGCACGGCATTGCAGATCTGCTGTGTTTTCCGGCGGTGGTATATGCTGCCTGCAGTTCTGCAGACGGAGCTGCTTGGTAGGCAAAGTTGGTCGCGTCACCGCCATTTTGGCGCCCTGGCGTGGGATGCACTGTGCCCTGCAGGCTCGATGGGCCGGTATTAGGCAGTAATTCCCTCAAATGTGGACTGGGATAACCCCCCCGGTCCGTGGGGGGGGGGAGCAGGACCGGTAGGACATGTCACTGGGCTGCTGCACGGCTGCCAGGTTTCAAAACAGGACGGCGGCTGTCCGCCCCGTTCTACACCCACATGGGCCGCAGGCCCCGAAGCCTCGCATCACCCCCTGGGCCTGCAAGACTCCTGATCTCGGGTCCGCAATGGCACCATAAACTACCTGGACATGGGAGGTATTATCTTGACTCCGGGGCAGGCTGTAAACTTAGTATTTTCGTTGAAATAGGCCAAATCCTACAGGAGCCCCTCCAGCCTGCGACCGGTCAGCATGGCTGTCGGGTCCCGCCCCCATATTATAACTTTTATGTTACTACTATTACCTTTTTATTTATGAATGGATTGAAGTGGAAGAGAAACCGGAAGTAACCGGACGGTGGAACGCACGTTGCATTCCATTAATCTGTGCTGCCGAAACCCGGAAGTGAGATGGAGGTGCTAAAGCAAAACCGGAAGTGACGTCAGCGCGATGGTAGATCGCACGTTGCGTTCCAACTCCAGATAGCCGCAAACCGGAAGTGGAAGAGCACGAAGCCGGAATCCGGAACCCGGAAGTAAAACACAACCGGAAATGAGGAACCCAGAAATTAGGGACTCTGGAATCATTTAAAACAGGCAAGAAGAAGAGGAGACACAAACAACCAACTGAGGAAGCCCATTTATGGGCGAAACGCGTTTTGGACACTAATTGGGACATTTGTACCTGGTATTTATTTCTATTTTATACCAATAATTTTATTTATATATATTTTCTTAACATATATGTATTAGGGAATACCAATAAAGCCATATTATCCATGAGATTTTGGCTGTGGTACCCTATATATATACACGATTTATATTGGGAGCCTTGGAAGACTAACACCGCTTTAAGGAGTGGAAGAAACCAGGTTTCCAGCAGAATTGAGAACAAAAGAAAGGATTGGGCATCTTGGAATTGCCCACAAGTGCTTACCATCTGAGTCATATGCAGTTTATGACTCCTGCCTTGTGAGTGATACCATAAACGCCTTTCTATTAGACTTCATTTTGTTATAGCAATATTGCGCTATTTGTGTTCTGTATTTATATTTTTACAGATATTATCTGAACGTGTACACAAGAGGCTCCACCCTATGTATGTATGTTTTTCTATGTATCTTGTAGAGGTGGTTTAGGGAATACCACTCAGGGTGTTTGAGCTTCACTTGAGATCTTGTTAAACTCCATATTGTGCACTGATTTATTGATTAAGCAAATATGAAGCCTCCTGTCATGTTATAAAATTAATCACTATATTATATGAAACTCAGTAAGATCTAACTAATGTATTGCTTTTCTGAATTTTTCTTTTTTACTTTGTTGCAAAACATAGACTTTAGTAAATCATGAGAGCTAGGTAGAGCTAATAATATGTGTTCTAAAACAATTCAAAAGATAGCAAAATAATATTGTTATTTGTCCAGAATAAATAAAAGAGGTGAAACCATTAACCTCTTAACGCCGTTACGGCGTTCTATGCCGTCCCGGATTAAAAGGGCTTTAGAACACCGTAACGGCTTGCAGCCCCTGGAGGTCTGGTGTACTTACCTCCACCGCGATCCTCTTCTGGAGGGCTGCCTGACAGCCCAGGCAGCCCTCCCCCGGCAAATGAGGCCCCCAGGGGCCATGTGATAGCTCTCAAAGAGCGATCACATGGCCCCCTTTAGCTGGCTGTGGATCTGCCATCAGCAGGGCTGTCTGAAATGTATGTAGAATAAAAAATATTAGACAAGTTAAAATTAAAATAGAAATGTATGTAACGTCATATTGTATTAAATATATGTAACGTCATACAAAGTGTATTTTAATATTAATATAAGTACATATATTAGTATTAAAATACACTTAGTATGACGTTACATATATATAATATGTATATATATTATATATATAATAGATATATACACATATATTATATATATATACATGTATAATTACAATAATAAATAAATAAAATAATAAATAAAATAATAAAATAAATAAAATATTGAAACAAAATTTTATATAAATGATTTATTCATATGTAATTTCATTCTAACTGTATTTTGTTATTAATATATATATATTGGTAACAAAATACACTTAGAATGACTTTCTGTATATATCTATCTATATATAAAATACAAATAACCGCAAATATATATATATAGATAAATAAATACATATAAGTACATAAAAGATTCACATTAGTATACACATAGAATTTAAATACCTATAAATGCATATATAATAAAATTCTACATGTATATTTAAGTAATCTTTTAACATAATTATGTGATTTGATTAATTAAAATTTGATTGACATGCCTGACAACACAGGGAGAAAGTGCAGAGAATTTAATTTGCAAGCAGCATATTTGACCCTGTAACTCTCCAAGACACCATAAAACCTGTACATGGGGGGTACTGTTTTACTCGGGAGACTTCACTGAACTCAAATATTAGTATTTCAAACTGGTAAATTGTATTACAACAATGATACTTTAAGTAAAAGTGAAATTTTTTGCATTTTTTACAAACGAATGGCACTTTTATGGACTATATTATT